GAAAGAACTGTTGCACAGAACTCAAGTTCGTCTCATATGATAGGTTCTTGAGATATAGTGCTCGAAAATGAAGCAAAAAAGCTCGGTACATGTTTCATTATGATTTTAAAACTAACTTTTGGGATGGATCTGTTTCAGTAAAAATGATTGTTCTGTGTTACATACTTTTTTCTTGCTTTTTGTAACTTGTTGATCCTCATTTTTTTCTAACATTTTTTTTCATGATCAACATTAAAATATCCACCATTAGCGCTTCTTATTGAATCTAGCTTTAATACAATTCGATTTGATTTTCAATCAGATAAACTGTTTGGTACGTGTTGATCTTCAACCACTTTGTTATTATCATCTAAGACGAAAAGAAACATCTTTATATATAACGAAGAGAAAAGATGAAAACAATATACCACAAGTAAGAAAGAATGTATTCGTATATCTAACCACAGTTCTAGATGCAGAACGATACAACCATAAAACAGAAGAACCCAATATATATCCATCTCTTTATCTGATTATAAAGTTAGATATCAATCAATCATCGTGTAAATTATAAATCTTTATTTTTTTCTCTGTTTTCTTCACAAATATTTTTCCGATGCCAAACAATATATAGCTAATTGTCGATTAAATTGAATTAGGACTATTAGATGAGGACGATAATCTTTTTGAGCCCGCTATAGTTTATTTATTTTGAAAAATGAACATAACATGATTATAGGGAAAAAAGCAAAAAATGAAGAACATATTAAAAACATTAATGAGGTAACGCTGGTCCTGCTTTCTTTGGTCGTCCACGTTGCTTATATAAGTTTTTCAATTTATCTGGATCAGATATTATATAAAATCTAAAATGAACTGAAAGATCAGCTGCAACAGCATTTGTAACAATATTTCTAACTTATGACGGTGCTTGTGTTGTTGTGCATAATGATTGATCATTTGATGCTGAAACTATTATTTCACCATTATAATTTAAAACAACCTTTATTTGAAAATCACATTCAGAATATTTTCTACATTGCAAATATCATGATGTGATCGTCGTTCCAATTGTAGTTTCTTCTGTGTATTTTGCAGATATATTATTTTGTGTAACATACCATTGTAAATCATTTTCATTGAAAAATCGATCGACGAAATCTCACGTTCGTTTGGCCATAATGATGCATGTAAATGATTCAATAGCAAAGGTATAGACTCAAATCCAACCATACGAGCTCAAAACATATTTTTTCCATTAACTGATACTCACAAACTCATGCCAATCCGACTCTAATTGGTGAAGATTCGTGCAAAGAAAGTTCATGAAAATCGAATCATCTGTTTTTTAATTTTGCTCTTCTAGTGATCACAAGAACACGAAGTTACTAATTTCATGTGTATACAATCGATTACCGAACCGTTGTACACCAATCCACACGCTATTAGTGTTAAGGATTTATTCTTCCTTAATATGAATATGTGCGTGTTTGTTTATTTATTTCTCTTTCTGTTGTATCTACTTCTTTCGTTTTTCTTCAATTATTAGAAATTGTTCGTTCTTTCGTTTCTGTTCTGTCAGAGTCAAACAACCATTGATGTTGATTTTGATTATTTCTATTCTTATTACGTAATAATATTCTATTGCATGGTTTTCTTACACGTGATACCGTGATATATACATTTGCTTTCTCTTCTTCAATTATTTCACTGTCGAAGTAAGTTGTAACTCACGTTCATACTAACTTACAATTATAGTAGGGATGCCAAATCCAAATTTTAGGAATCCAAAGTTTTTCATCAAAAATCAGGATTTGATGAGGAGACTTTTTCATATAATCCGGTGAGAAATACAAAGATTTTTTTAAATTTAGCTGAAAAAAGAATGCTAAAAACTACAGAACTAAGCGATTTCATGATTTTTAAGGATTTTTCTTATTTCAAAATTGGAATCACTCTTGTCAGAAGAAAAGTTGATTTCTACATCGATAATGATCGAAACATACCATAACCATAATAAAATCCAGTGAACGCGAAATAACGTGATATTTTCTGATATCCCATCTACCACACTATTTAGAATAGTCATCGCAGAGCGCTCAATATTTATTATTATGGGAATTTTCGCCTAAGATTAATGGATGATCCAGAAGCAATGAGACAACATGTTTGTTCTATTTCCAACTTATGGGAAAAGCCTTCGAAAATTTGAAAAAATTGGGCCAGACTTAGAGTTTTGTGTTCATTCTGAATATGGATTCAAGTTTTTTGCCGAACTTCTGACATAGAAGTTATAAATTCACCATTTGGAGCGAGTAAATTGACTCATTTTACATTCATTCTCTCTTTTGCTTCATACATTATATTATTGATTTTTTTGTAGAGAATTGAACACGAGTTTGTTTTCTACAAACAAATGAATTTTACCAAATTAATGACTAATGTAGCATTTTATATCGAAATCAATGCTTTTTTATTCGCTCTGTTTGAAACTATTTTTCAAGCCTCTAATAGGTCTATTTATATATCATATATCAGAAGTCTTACAAAAATTTTAAATCCATATTTAGAAAGAACATAAAATTCTTATTGTAATCCAATGTTTTCAAATTTTGAATACTTTTCTTTGCCTGAAAAATAGACGAATATTTTGTCTAATTATTATTTAGTTCAACCGTTATTAGATATTTCTATAGTCGAATGTATATTATTACACTAATATTTTCATGTGTTTTCATTGACTGATGAAAAGAAAATAAGCATAAGTATATTATAGTGATATACAAAAACAAAAAGAACAATCGAAAACGAAAAGTAAATTATTTGGAAAATTATTCTCATGATGTTGGCAACATGACTATATTTCTATAGCGAGAAAAATTCTCTTTTTGACAATTCTTGATCATCTAGAAAGTAATTATGAAGTTTTGTAAAACTCGAATAACTGATTATTCAAATTTTCGTTTCGTCATCAATAGAATGAGTTCTCATTCGACTTGCTTTTTCATTTTATAACGATAAATTTCACGTATTTTCACTATAAACAAGACGAGCTAAAAGATTACCACGTTCAACTGTGACAATAATTTTTTTTTCTTCCATGCTTTTTGCTGTCAATTCATTTTGTCATTAAGACCAA